CAGATACAAATTTTTTAATTTAAATTTAATTAAACTACATATATTTAATTAAACTACATCATAAGTTTTAAATTAACTTGTTAAATATAAATAATTTAAAAATTACAAATTTAACTAATCCAGCGATACTTATATTAAATTAATTAAATATATTTCTTTGAATTAATCTTTATAAAAAAATTTTATGCGAATAATTCTTTAAACACATAATTTTTTACAAATTGATTTTCTCTCTGATTATCAAGAAAAACTTTTAGAGCTTGCCATGTTCGAACACGAGAAAATACAACATAAAGTTGTCCATGATTAAAAACATCTTTACGAAGATCAATTCTAACTTTATCGAAAGTTTGTCCTTGCGATTTATTAATAGTCATTGCAAATGCTAATTTTATTGGAAATTGTCTTCTTGAAAAGGTAAAAGGATATATATTTTCACAATATAATGTTATTCGATTTAAAAAAACAATTTCTCCAGTTTTATCACCTGTTAATATTTTACATTTAAGTAAATGATTTGCAAGCTCTACTACTATTAACCTTGTCCCATTACAAAGACCTTCATTAATACTTAAATTTCTAATTAACATAATAACAGAATTTGGTCTTAAACGTAATTCATGAGGGGGTAGACAGGATGGTGAAAGATTATTTAAATATTCAGGTATTATGACGTCACCAAAATTATTCTTACCATCAGAATTTACAATACTATCAATACTTGTATATATTCGTTCACCAGAAGAATCTAATAATTCTACAACTCGTTTATTTATTTCTTCAACATCAGTATTTCTAGCTGAAAGTATTACAAAATTAGCGAGTTTCAAAAAATCCTTTTTTTTAATTAAATCTCCATATATATCTGCAACGATATCTGTATCAGGTGATGCAATACAACATTGAGGTATCTGTATATTATTATTAGAATCATTTAAATTTCCATCACCTAAATCCAGTAAAAAATTTGCAAATTCAGGTTCTTCCGAAAGAACTCGCATATTTTGGGATAAAGAAAATTTCTCAAAATATTTCCAAGTTGAACTAAATTTGATGGATAAATTAACAATTTCACTTCTGGTACTATGTGTTTTTGGAAGTAGTTGTCTAAAATCTCCACCCAAAATAATAATTTTTCCACCAAATGGTAAATTATTATCAGTAATGTCACGTAAGGTGCGATCCATAATCTCTAAGGCATATCGTGGAGCCATTGGTGCTTCGTCCAAAATGAAAATATCTATTTCTTTTAAATATTTAGCTTCTTTAGATTGAATTTTAATAGCAGATGTAGAATCAACAAATAATGGAACAGGTAAACCAAATGTTTTATGATCTGTTTTTCCATATGGTAATAATGTTGCAGCAATTCCAGTAAAAGCCATTGTATATACTCGTTTATTTCTAATTTTAGCTAGGTAATAAATAGTTGTATATATAAAAATTTTTCCAGAACCTCCAGGACCATCTATATAAAAACAATGACTATTAATACTATTATTATCTAATCTATCTAATATAATATCAACTATTTCTTTTTGTTTATCATTTAATTGCTCATATTGTTTCAATCCAATTTCTGATTCTTGTTCTGTCAGACCATCTGTTACATCATCATTATTCATTAATTGTTCCATGTTTGAAAAACCAGCAAAGCTTTTTCCTTCTGTTAAAAGCATATTATTGATTTGAATATATGCTTTTTTAAAACCATATAACATACCAATATTCCTGACATAATCTTCTGATAAAGCGTCTTTAAAACTTTCCCATAATTTTTCAGGATATAGTGGATTACAATGTATTAAAATTCGACTAAATAATCTACGTAATTGTTGTGGCATCATCCATTTCACAGCTTCATTCATAGCTCTATTCCATTCTTCATCATCTTCAATTAACCCTAAGGCTAAGCATGCAGCAGGAAATGTTTGATGTGTTTCTCCATTTACAACTTTTAAATTTTGAAAACTTGTTGCTCCTTTAATCGTAAGTAATAGTAATCGTAAATGGAATAATTCTAATTGTGTTGGACTTATATATATACTGAATAGATTCGTCCTAAACAGAATACTGAATAGATTCGTCCTAAACAATTAAAATAATTACTACGTTTAGTCCAACGTGAAACATTTTTATCATTAATTTTTATTTTCTTAAATGTGTAATAACGTGGGATTTCTGTATATAAATAATTTTTAGCTTCCTCATCACGCAAATTTAAAGCAAAATAGTCTATCAACATAGTAACTTGATCTACAACAGAAAACAAGACATCTTCAACACATTCATTTTCAATGGTAATATTTTGTTCATTAGGTAAATGAACTGGTAAACGTAATACAACATGACTTTTGTCTTGTAATTTTTTGCCAAGTATACGCCAACTGGCCTCAACAGGACCAACATAACGAGTTTCGATATAATTATGGATCTCATCATGATCAATAATTATATTTTCAGTTTTAGGTTCAAAAGTTATTGCAGCAACATCATGACCTTATAAATATATTTGTATAGATATTTTACAGATTTAATACTTGAAACAATTTCGATGTTAATATGACAATTGAAAACCATTGATAATTTAGGACAATATGGATAGTACAACATATCGATTATCAACTATATATTTACCAGGACGTTCAAAATTTTTACCATTATTTCGTCGACGATAATGTGGAAAAGAATCTTCATCCATTATTGTTTCATCTATAAAAAGTTTGGGGAAATGTTTAGAACATTTTCCATCTACAAAACACCAATCTCCGCAAGGGCCATGAATCATATGTTTCATAACTATATCATGCAAACGCGAATTCTGGATCTGGAGTTTCAGCAGATATATATTTATCAACAATATTAACTGTTGTTATTTTATAATTTTGTTTAAGAGTAATCAATATATGAACGTGTGGCAAACCACGTTTTTGAAATTCAATAACATAAACATATGCTGCAACTTCTCCAAAAAACTTTTGTTTAACAATAAGATCAATTAAATAATTTTTTTTAATATTAAAAACTCGTGCACAAATATCTGATCTGTCTAAGGCTTGTTGAAAAGGTAAAAGATTTTCTACGATTTCACGCCAATTAGGATTACATGTCATAGTAATAAAAAGATTTGGTTTGCCAAATTTATCAACAATTGCCATTGCATCTTGATAATTTTGTAACATATTTCGTGGAGAACCAATAAACGTCGAGGGAAGTATAATAATTTTTCCGATACGTCCATTAACATTAAATGCCATATTTTGTATATAATCTATTAAACCTTGATATGTGTGTTTCAACACATAATTCTTTTTGATGACTTTTACAAAATTCAATTTTATCTTTCTCAATTTTAACATAATTATCTACAAGCCATTGTTGAAATAAATGACGGCCTAATAAAAAAACATTAAAATTATTACGAATAGCCATACAATATTTAATATATTGAGCTCTAGTTCTTCGTCTTTCACTATTTAATTTTGTTAAATTACGATGCCATCCTCGTGTATCATATATATAAAATAAAGGGTATATCCATGGTTCCACATTTGGATCCATAAAACTAACTTGTTGTAAAATTTTAGTACTTCTATTACGTAGTGTGACATAAGACTCAGGAATTTCTCCATCCGCATTTGTAGAAAAAACGACTGCAACCTCATTTGATCTTTGAATATTATATCGTCGACGATCCATTCCAGGACGTAAAATAAATGATAATTGTAATTCCATTAATTTATCACATTCCATTTCTAATTGGCCTTGTATTTTTAATTCTTCATAAATCATTAAATATGACTGTGCAAACACATTATATTTACGCATTATGTGCTCGAGATTTTTTAAGATTTGATAATCCAACTTCGAATTTTCATTTAAACGATGATCAACTGCCTCATTCGAATCAACTATAAAAAGCTGACCATTTGTTGGATTTTCATTGGATACAGCATATAAAGTCGTATTAATATGATAATAAATTTGACCTTGTATCTTAAAACAATAAGGTCCAGGTCTCCTATCTTTAAAAGTAATTAAATGGACATTAAATGATGCAAAGGCAAATGAATTATTATAACTACGAATATGATTGAAAAATTCAATGGATTTAGCATGACTGCCATTAAATAAATTTCGAAGAAAATTAGGAGGTTCAGGTAATGGTTGAAGATATATTGCATCATGGTTACAACAGTCATGAAAAGAATTTCTTCTATTTGCAACCTTTTCAGCTAGAAAATGTTTAGCATTACAATGAATACAAGATATATTCATCGGACCAATATAATATTCAACTATGTCGTTAATTGTATTATTCTGATTTAAACGAGGAAGTTTTTTTTGATGTGATCGATAACATGATTGACGTTCAGCAGAATTTAGATATAAAGATGAAGCATTTAAATGACTATTATTAGTAACTTTTCTTGCAATTTGACGACGTCGACGTTGATTTTCCGCTCTTTTTTCACGTCGTTGACGCTGAAATTCTTCTTCATCTTCGAAATTGCGTTCTATATTACGTCTTGGCATTAAATTTAAATAATTTTACCAGTAATAAATGAATTAGAAATAATAAAATTGTTTGTCAAAATTAATATAATTAGAACCTAAATTTGAAAATAAATTAAATATTTATATCTTCAATGATATCCTGCGATCGACCATAGGATACTTTTAGGACATCTCTTGAAGGTTTATCCTATTCTTAAAATTGGCGTGTTACGTGCCCTGAAGCCTCTTTTCGTTGAGGCTGTTTGAG